CTGTTTTACTGAACATAGATTGAGCTTCTCAGGAATGAAGTGTATCTCAATGAAACCACTGTAATTGGTTCTATATTGCATTATTTCCTTGGTACCCGTTGACTAGTAACAGTGTACTATAGGAATTATCACACTTTATTTCCCATAATTACATTTTACTCCATATCTTGCTATTTAATGACATCTCAGAAGTGTTCTTCTGTATGTTTGTTATAACTTGCAGAATAGGGCATTTTACACTTAAAAAATAGACATTTGTTTTGCAGCTCATATGCAAAATGAGTGCATTTCACATTATATGATTATTTTTTCATTATATTGATTATTCCTTTATCAAATCATTCATATATTTTACTGTTTGTTCGCATACAAAATTAACTCTCATAACAGAAGGACTGTCAGAAGGACTATCTCAAATTTTTATTTCAGTAACCTGGCTTTCCTTCCTAGCATCAAAAAAAAATATTAAAGATCAAACCTAGTTTAAAGTGTGTTCTAGTCTGATCATTAGGCAGTTGGTCTCCAGTAGATGAACATTCTTGCACTCTGATCGTTTCCTCATAGTTGGTAGCTGGTTGCCAAAAAGAGGTGAGTGGCTGATGTGATTAGTGGCCTCAGATTTTATGACACTCCCTCATTTCCAGGTAGCATTCTTTTCTTACAAGTTGTTGACTAAGTATAATCCTCCTCCTGCCTCCTGGGTGTGGTTTGTGCAAGAGGAGTCACTGATGTCTGTCATCTGCGTTTGGTGCCACTCGTGAACTGTTTCCTTTTAATTGGGAGAATTCTCTAGGTGTGCTTCTTGGCTTCCCTGGATCACACCTGACTTCACACAAGTGTTGTGGCTTCCTCTGGATTCTGGCTGGGACTCCCATTCCATTCCTGTCCAAGCAGCACAGTTCCCATCCCTAACTACATCCACCTTACTGCAGTCAGCAAAGCATAACCCCAGTAGGTTCCACGTAGGAACTGGGGGCAATATGGAAAGATGTATCCCAAATCTCGCTCTGCTTGTTCATATTGCAGTGCCTTGTACACTTTGCAGAGATTGTTCCCCAGGCTGCTATATGATTGCCATTGAAGAAGCCACCAACTCAAGGTCTAAAATGTAAACCTCAGTTGTATAGCGTATTTCCCTCTCTCTGGACATCAGGAAATTGAACTGCCTCCATCTCCTCCCTTTCTTATTTGTTTTCATGGCCTCTCCATTTATATATAAAAAAATTCTATCCATGTTTTACCCCCTACTTCTATGCTGTCTCTCTATACTGTGGGAGAATTTTAAGGGCATATATCATTTAGCGTGCTTGTTGATTCACAAAGTTGATGAATAGGCAAAGAAAAATGGCAGTCTTTATCCACACAATACATGAGCTTGCACAGCTAATCGTTTTGCTACAAATCATTCTGCACAGCAGAAACTTTTTATTTGTGTTCCTTCTATAACATTGCTAATCTTCTCTGCAGGCAAATGAACTGCCTGGGGCAACTAGGCTCAAAGTGATGCATTAGTAAAGACATTTCACAAAGACACATTAATACTTCTCAATGTTTTTCTTTATTGAATAATGTGTGTTGTAAATCTGTTGTGGTTCAGTTTTGTGTTAAGAAAGTTTATATTGAAGAACAGAAAGTAAGATGGGATAAATAATGTAGAATAAGATAAGCACTAAAATGTAGCAGAAATTTCTGTGAACTTAGGCATTGATATGCTTTCAGAACAAAAATGGAAGCAAGAGTTCTAAAACTTCTGGAAGGACATCTGCCCAGCAACTGTCTATCCAACCTTGGACTGACATCTCCCTTATTATTGCTCCTTGTGGCTAAGAATAGCTGTTTCACTTAAAAACCTTTCTCTTGCTTTACCTCCCTGAGTGCATCTTACATGTTTCATTTCAATGTTCAATACTGAATAAACATTATTTTCTTTTCAAGAACCTTTCTGTTTATTATTTAGGTTTGACACATATATGCAGTGTGTCATTGAACACAAAACAAGATTTGATAGTTCTCAATTACTTTATATTTCACAAACATTCACTTTACTATAGCAACTTTTTAAAATCAAACTTTTTTTTCAATTTTCGAGTACTATTCTGTCTAATACGGTAGCAATAGAACAGTATTATGTGGCCAGTAAAACCGAGAAGTACTGAAGATGTGAAATATACACTGGTTTTCAAAGGCTTAGTGTAAAATAATCATGTAGAATATTTCAATAATTTTTATAGTATCTATTTGTTGGCATAATGATGTTTTAGATATTTGGGTCTAAACAAAATATGTTACTAAAACTAATTTGACCTTTTTCTTTTGCTTTCTTAAATATAGCTATCAAAAAATTTCAAATTACATATGTGGCACTAATTTACTACTTGTATTATTGTTCTACTAAATAGTTCTGCTCTAATATGTTAATTCTTCTAATCATGTTACCTAAATAAAATCATGCTTTTGCTGGGATGTGTTGGATAATCCTTTATGCAAACAAGACAAAGCATAGCTGGCACTTAAATAAAGCAATTAAGCAAAATGCTGAAAGAATAATCTTAGTTGGTTGTTTTAAAAGAGAAATGGGAATTATTAAACTTTTGATAAGTTTTTTTCCCCAAGATGGCAGATTAGAGACTTTTAGCATGCTTCATCCACTTGGAAATAGCAAAATAATGCATAAAGATCAACTCTGTGAACTTTAATTCAAGAAGAAAAATGGGAATAAAGTGGAATAAAGGACACCAGATACTAAGGAGAAGAACACTAGAAAACAGCCCCTGTGGTGGTGTCTGGCTGATAAAAGCAGAAATCCAGGTAGATTAAGCACCTGCTTTCCTGGACAAGCAGCAACCTGAGCCACCCTAGATCATGGAGCCACCACATAGATCATGGTGCAGCAGGTTTATCTCTGCTCCACATCCAGGTAGATCTCAAAGTATTTGAAGAACCCAATCACCTGGTTCAGCAGCCTTGGCAATCCCACCTTACCTTAGACATAAATCATGGTGGAGTGAGACCTGCTCTCTCCACACCCAGGCTGATCTCTAGGTGTTTGAAATACTTGCTTGTCTGGTTCAGCAACCTGAGTTTCCCCATACCTCCTGTGCAGAGATCTTGGTGCTGGGGCAAGGTGGGGGTGCTTTCTGCTGCTCCAAGACTCATCCAGTTGTTGTTTTCAAGAATCCCATCTCACATATAATAGCACCCATAGGCTCAAAGTAAAGGGTTGTAGAAAGATCTACCACAGAAAGAGAAAACAGAAAAGAGCAGGGTCACTATTCTTAGATAAAACAGACTTTAAACCAACAATAGTAAAAAATAAAAGGACAAAGAAGGGTGCTTCATAATGATAAAGAGTTCAACTCAGCAAGAAGACATAACTATTTTAAATATACATGCACTCAACATTGGAGAACCCATAAAATAAGTACTTCTAGAACTACAGAAGATTTAGCCACAAAATTACATTGGAAAATGTTAATGCTCCACTGTTACCATTAGAAAGATTATAGAGGCATAAAGCTAACAAAGAAATTCTGATCTTAAACTTGACATTTGACCAATTAGACCTAATATACATGTACGGAATAATCCACCCATCAACCACAGAATATACATTCTTCTCATCTGCACATAGAATATATTCCAAGATTGACCACTTGCTTGGCCATAAAGCAACTATCAACACATTTTTTTAAAATACCAAAATCATATCAACCATACTCTTGGACCATGATGGAATAAAAATAGAAATTAATATCATGATCTCTCAAAACCACACAGTTATGTGGAAATTAAGCAACTTGCTCCTGAATGACTTTTGGGAAAATATAAAATTAAGGCAGAAATCAAAAAATTATTTGAAATAAACAAAAACAACATTCCAAAATCTCTGGGATTCAGCAAAAGCAGTGCTAAGAGGAAACGTTATAGTGCTAAACGCCTACCTCAAAAAGTTAGAAAGTTCTTAAATTAACAATCTAACATCACATATGGAAGAACTGGAAAAACAAGAGCAAGCTAACCCCAAAGCTACCAGAAAAAAGAAATAACCAAAATTAAAGCACAATTGAATAAAATCAAGACCCCAACATTTATATAAAAATAAATAAAACCAAAAGTGTGTTCTTCAAAAGCTTAAACAAGATTGATAGACTACTAGCTAGATTACCAAAGAAAAAAGATAAAATCCAAATAAACACAATCAGAAAGGACAAAAATGACATTACATTAAGTCCCATAGAAATACTAAAGATTTTCAGAGACTATTGTAAATACCTCTACACACACAATTAGAAAATGTACAGGAAATGGATACATTCCTGGAAACACACAATCTCCCAAGATTCAATCAGGAATAAATTGAAACCCTGAGCCAACTAACATTGAATTCAAAACTGAATCACTATAAAAATCTCCCAATCAAAACACGCCTTGAGCCAGATGGATTTATAGCCAAATGCTACCAGATGTACAAAGAGAAACTGGTGCCATTTCTACTGAGACTGTATCAAGAAATGGAGAAGGAGAGACTCCTCCCTAATTCATTCTATGAAGCCAATAGCATCTTGATACCAAAACCTGGGTAAGACACAACGAAAACAGAAAATTACAGGCCTCTATTTGTAATGAACAAAGACACAAAAATCCTCAACAAAATACTAGCAAACTGAATTCAACGGCACAGTGAAAAGCGAATTTACCTCAATGAACGAGGCTTAATTCCCGAGATTCAAGGTTGTTTCAACATACGTAAATCAAAAATGTGATTCACCACATTAACAGAATGAAAAACAAAAACCATATGATCATCTCAATAGACGTGGAAAATCTTTTGATAAAAATAACAAAAAGACACAGTGCTTCTATATTGGGCTCATGAATCATGGAGGTCTTGCAAAAATGTAGACTCTTGTTCAACACGGTTTGTCTCGAGTGGGGCCTGAGATTTTCTTTCTTTTCTTTCTTTCTTTCTTTTCTTTTCTTTTCTTTTTTTTTTTTTAACATAGTAAGTTTTCTAATCCACTTAACAAAAATACAAGAGCACAAATCCACATGTATTTATTGACTTTTCATTAGTTCTAAATCCTTGAAGGGTACAGCATCACTCGGATTCTGTGTCCAATGGCCTTAGCAGGAAGGTTGCTTCGGAATTTGGCACGAACCATGCCACTGTCTCCGTGGGCCCGAGTTACCTTTCCCCAGGTTACTCTGGTTTTGTTTGGTTTGCCACCAGGAGTCACTGTGTCGTTCTTTGCTTTGTATACATAAGCACATCTCTTGCCCCAATAGAATTCCGTTTCATCTCGGGCATAAACACCTTCAATTTTAAGAAGAGCTGTGTGCTCCCTTTGGTTCCGGAGACCCCGCTTATAGCCAGCAAAAATAGCCTTGGACCACAGCTTTCCAGACATAGCTCTTTTCATAAGTCCTGTTCCCAGCAGGCCTCGAAATTTCAGCAGCAGGCGCTTCTCTCGCCTCCTCAAGGGCCAGGATGGCGGGAAGAGCGAGACTCTTTATTTCTAACAAGCTGTAGATGATACCAACAGTGTTGGTGCTCATTGTTTACAGATGATACTGTATGGGTCACATGGCTTGAGAAATAAAAATCACTTGAGAGCATTTTGTGCACATAGTTGTAGTGACATTAAGCGATGACTACTGTATTCAATCTGTAAAAACCACCATAAATTATTCCCCTCCCATCAAGAGATGGAACCTATTTTTCCATTCCTTGAGACGAGTTCACCACGTGATTGGTTTTGATCAAAACATAACAGCAAGTTGCCACATGATGAGATTTGAAAGGTATCTGAGCACCAGGACTTCATCTCTCTTTCTGCTCTTACCTTCCATCACCCCCTAATTGCACCTGAGCTAGCCTGTTGGAGGATGAGAGGCCATGTGGAAGAGAACCCAGATACCCACCAACAGGCCGCTAGCTGCCATCACTGTGAAGGAAGCCATCCTAACTTCACTCCAGCTAATTTTCCAGTTGATCACAGGCACGTGAGCAAGCACAGTGGCTCTCAGTCAACCTGGTTCATACAGAAGATCTCCTCAACCAACACAGAGAACCATGAACTAAATAAAATCACAGCTGTTTTTAAAATAAATAAATAAATAAATAAATTTTTGATTACAGAAAATTAAATATGAACAATTTAATTTTATTCTAAATTATTTTAATGTCATTATACATATTTGTCTTTAAACAGGTATATATAATTGTGAATAATTGCATGAATAATCAATTTATTTATCTTTTAAGTGCTTTTATGCTTCATTGTTCCTATCTTCATTAGCCTATCTTCATCTTTATCTTCACAGCATGTCAGCAAATTGAACAATCTAATATATAGTCATATCTTTTTATGCTCAACTAATCATATATCATATATTATATTCATATAATATATGCATATATTTGTGTGTATATGTGCATATATACTTGTCATTTTGCTTTGTATTAAATGGGTTTTTATCATGCATACTTTTCTTAGTCTTTCACTTTCCACTCCTACTTTCTTGTTGGCATCACTGCAAGTCAACTTGTAATACTTTAATTTCTTGTAATTAATGGCTGCAGAGTATTCCAAGATGTGAATATAATATACTGGCAATATATTCAAGTGTCCCTCCATTGATAGGCAATTATATTGTTTCTGGAGGGTTTTATTTGGAGGGTGCTTTTTTCTTTCCCTTCATCTTTCTATTATATTTGCTATTACAACCAAGACCTTCATAAATACCCCCATATATATTGCACTTTGTGCTTAGACTTTCATCCCTATAGGAGATGTTTCCAGGAATGACATCACTGTCAACAGATTTATATCTAATGCATGCATGCACACACATTATAAAATGTTATTAAATAAAGATTGTTGTTTTGCATTTAAAAACACTATGATGATTTGTAGTTCTATGGTAAGAATGAGGATACATTAATATGATACATATATGTGCATAAATGTGAATGAAAAGAAGATAATCCTGTTTTCAAGTTTTGCCAATTCAGTGATTACAAATTAACAATCTTTGTTACTGTAATCACTGTTTCTTAAACTACGAGTGAAATTGAACATTTTTGTTTACTTGTTTGGCATTTGTATTTGCTCTTCTGTAAACTGGCAATATAGAGCAGCAATACTCAATAGAATTTACAAAATAAGTAGAAATATCATATTAAATGTTTTAAGTGGCCACAAATGTCCACCAATTGTCATAGTGAGCTGTACAAATTTAGATTTTCAATCTGATTTTTAATTTTTTTCCTGTCATTTTTAAAGAATATTTTCCATATTATAGAAATTAACAGTTTATTATCACTCCTTTTTTAAATTTTACTTTAAGTTCTGGGATACATATACAGACCTGCAGATTTGCTACATAGCTATATATGTGTCATGGTGGTTTGCTGCACCTATCAATCTGTCATCTAGGTTTTAAGCCCCACACGCATTAGGTATTTTTCCTGATGCTATCCCTTCCCCTTGCCTCCCACCCTACCAAGAGGCTCCAGTGTGTGATGTTCCCCTCCCTGTGTCCATGTGTTCTCATTATTCAACTCCCCCTTATGAGTGAGAACATGTGGTGTTTGGTTTTCTGTTCCTGTGTTAGTTTGCTGAGAATGATGGTTTCCAGCTTCATCCATGTCCTGCAAAGGACATGAACTCATTCTTTTTTATAGCTGCATAGTATTCCATAGCATATATGAGCCACATTTTCTTTTCTGGTCCTATCATTGATGGGCACTTGCATTGGTTTCAAATTTTTGCTATTGTAAATAGTGCTGCAAGAAACATATGTGTGCATGTGTCTTTATAGTAGAATGATTTATAATCCTCTGGGTGTATACACAATAATGGGATTGCTGGGTCAAATGGTATTTCTGGTTCTAGATCCTGGGGAATCGCCACACTGTCTTCCACAATGGTTGAACTAAATTACACTCTCATCAACAGTGTAAAAGCGTTCCTGTTTCTCCACATCCTTGTCAGCATCTATTGTTTCCAGACTCTAATGATCGCCATCCTAACTGGCATATTACCATCACTACATTTTTTAACATTTAGTTTAAAAATATTTATTATATTTTTAACTTGTGAAAGGGGTTAAAGTGATATTGTCAAATTTTTTATCATTCCATTTTTAAATTTTCTTAATAAACTTTGACATGATTTCATATTTTTATGATACATTAAACAAATAGGGATGAAAAAGGAGATAATATCTTGATAGTGCTTTATTATTGTTCTACAACCATATAGACTATATTTTCAAACTTTGCTTTGCATTTCAATATTTACTATTTTTAAAATGCTATAGTTTTCAAACATCTTCTTCCCTTAGTTTTTATTTTTAAAAACTAACATTTCTGGTTTTTTTTTAGTATATTAATTTTTTTTATAACAGGGTTTCACCACACTGGCCAGGCAGATCTCAAATTCCTGACCTCAGCCTCCCAAAGTGCTGGGATTACAGGCATGAACCACCACGCCTGGCAAAAACTAACATTTCTTATTTGCTCACTTTAGTGGTTTGCATCTGGCTACTTTTACTAAAATGTAAACATTAATAACTTGTTAGGATTTTAGATGAAGCAATGTAACTATGATATGAAAAGTCAATGTTTAGTCCCTCAAATGTCTTCTTTGGCAATTATATCCTATATATACTAGGATATACAGAATATAAAAAACAGCCTGTGGCCCGGTGCAGTGGCTCACACCTGTAATCCACTTTGGGAGGCCAAGGCAGGTGGATCATCTGAGGTCAGGAGTTCAAGACCAGCCTGGCCAACATGGTAAAACCCCATCTCTACTAAAAATTTTTAAAAAAAAATTACCTAGGTGTGGTGGCAGGTGTCTGTAATGCCAGCTATCCAGGAGGCTGAGGCAGGAGAATCACTTGAACCCTGGAGGTGGAGGTTGCAGTGAGCCAAGATCCAGCTATTGCATTTCAGCCTGGACAACAAAGTGAGACTCTGTCTCAAAACAAAAAACAAAGAACAAAAACTTATGATTATATTTCTTGACAAATCACACCACCATATAAGCTAGAAACTCATGTAACAGATTGCTAGTACTAAATTGAGGTTATATGGTGTAAAAAATATATTTTCAAACATACAACCGATAGGAAATCTTTTCTGTAGCATCATATAACTGGAAGTTTATGCAATGAAGGCAGAACAGATTCTGATTTAATCTCTTCTAACATACAGTGAATTTACATGATTTAGTCAGTCATGAAGAAGTCATATGTTTATTACAAAAAGAAGCCATAAAAATAGCATAGTTGTAACTTTTTTTTCACACCAAGAATGGGATTTGCATTCACATATATAAATGCTTTCACATTGGTAGTTTTCGCGTATGCTACCAAGATTTTACTTGTGCAGAAGACACAATATCACATTTTTTCTTTGAGAATGTAATTCATGGTTGATTTGACCATAATGCCTAGTTAAACCATTTCACCAGAATAATTGTTCTTCATTTATTCTGAGTTAATGGATTTTAACATTTTTCTCACATTTCACTGTTGTTTCAATAACAAAATTAATTTTCTACTTGTAAAATTGATGCTTCCTTATGGCAGAAAATTTAGAAAACATTAAAAAATAAGTAAAAATTTAAAACTAGAAAATAAAAATGTGGAAAAAAACACAATGAAATAAGCCTCAACTTCCCCTTGTCCCTCACAGAGATACATTTTTTTTATTTATAGAAAGTAAATAGTGTAAACTATTTTAAAATGTTTAATAAATTATGATGTAACTTGTATCTTTGGCAACACAGTTTTGTTTTGCTACATGGTATTCCATACACTGGCAAGCCAAGAATGCCAAACCACCTTTCCACTGGTGCTATCATTCACAGGTGGTATACTGGAGGTTCTACCCATGTCAGCAGGTTGGAAATTGCAGTTCTTTAAACCTGAGTGTTAGATATTTTAGAGCAATATGGATTGCAGACAAATGTAGGTTAAAGTGCTATTTGCCTAGAAAATTACGATACTTCTAGAGCCGTTACTATTAAATCTACGATTAGAACTATTTTTAAAATATTTTGTTAGAATAAAACATAATCTCTAAACTGCATATCTGAGTCAAAGGTTAATGTGTCAAAACTTCTGGGCTACACACTTGTTCAGGTTCCTTTCAAGTCCCTTTACCTGTGTTTTCATTGTTAATTTTTTTTCTTAAAGTTTGTCGTATTAATAAATTAAGCTGCAGGCCCCATAAAACCAGAATCTACCTCTGGTATCAGTTAAATATTTTTTTTCCAGCGTTTTAGCCTTAGAAAACAATGCTGTCAATCAAAAGTCTATGAAGATATTTTCTATGACAGCATTGTTTTCTAAGACAATCTATGAAAATATTAGTCTTCTCTGACAGAATCTGCAT